GAGGAACAGAAGGGGCATCCACTGCAGTGGTAAGACAAAACAAAGGTTACCTGTTAAAGAGCTACTTTCTGGGTACTAGGGAGTTTCTGTCTGGAAGTTTTTCCTTCTTCACAGTGTTGCTTTTGTTTCAAAGACTTAACTTGTTCATTGCTTATAGTTTTAATGATACTGTGGTCAAGGTGACCAGGACACCTGAGCAGTGCTGGTTTTCAGAGTTCACATCTTCCTAAATTATGTCAAGTTGTTTATCAAGTCATGTTCTCAAATCTTTAATAATTCATCATCTTACAGGCAGACAATAAGTGCTTAAAATAAGTAAATTAGTATCTAACGAAGTAGGAAATCTTTTTAGATTAGTAATTAATATATTAGTTGTTCACTCTGGGGAAACAACTAGATTTTGGCCAAATCTTTGAAAAATATAGTCTAAACTTACTGTGAGAATGAGAGAAGAAAGAAAAAAATCTGCGCTAAATGTTTCATCTTGATCTGCTTGTCGTTTTTTATTATTTTAGCACTGATCTCTGACAATGAATAAATACAACTAATCATAGCTAGATTAAGACTTCTCTTTATCAACAGAATTAATATAGTAGTAATAACTGTACAGAACAACTTTGGTGTTAAATTCTTCCTGAAATAAGAGATACTGGAAGCAAGCCCAAAGGAAATAATGACAGCATCGCCTGAATAACAGCATATTTATGTTGTAATTTCTCTGTTACTTGATCGATTCAAATGATCTATCTCTGTCTCTGCAATCAGAAAACGAGTGAATGTAGGCATGCATTATTTGCGTAACCACTAATGTAATACTAGTTTCTAATAAATAGCAGAAAGGGATTTTTTTTCTCAAACGTGTATCTTTAAATGCAGACTTCAGAGCAGCAGTGCTGCTATCAAGAGAAATGTGCTTGTGCTATTATTAAGCAGAAATGCACTTATTTCACTTATTTATTTTTTTCTATTTCAGCTAATTAGCTATCTGACCTTTTAATTGTCATTTTTTATTTATAAAGGCTGTGAAATTTAAAATAGCTTTTCATCACTATGGTAAAAATTCCAGTTCTGAAACAAGTAAACATAGAATCATAGAATTATTAAGGTTGGAAAAGACCTCAAGGATCATCAAGTCCAACTGTCAACCCACACCACCTAACTCACTAAACCATGTCCCTAAGCACCACATCTACACATTTCTTGAACACCTCCAGGGATGGTGACTCCACCACTTCCCTGGCCAGCCTGTTCCAATGCCTGAGCACTCTTGCAGTGAAGAAATTTTTTCTAAAAAAAAAAATATCCAGCCTAAACCTCCCCTGGTGTAACTTGGGGCCAGTTCCTCTTGTCCTATCACTTGTTACTTCAGAGAAGAGGCCAGCACCCACCTCACTACACCCTCCTTTCAGGCAGTTGTAGAGAGTGATCAGGTCTCCTCTCAGCCTCCTCTTCTCCAGACTAAACAACCCCAGCTCCCTCAGCCGCTCCTCATCAGACCTGTGCTCCAGACCCTTCACCAGCTTCGTTGCCCTTCTCTGGACCTGCTCCAGCACCTCAGTGTCCTTCTTGTGGTGAGGGGCCCAAAACTGAACACAGGATTCAAGGTGCGGCCTCACCAGTGCCGAGTACAGGGGCACAATCACTGCCCTAGTCCTGCTGGCCACGCTATTGCTGATGCAGGCCAGGATGCCGTATATGTCAGTGTAATGCAGATCTCGTCCTCAGCAGTGGGCAAAAATGGGCATTTTGAAGGTTTGTAGCATTTTGCTCAAGGCCTGAAATGCCCTCTTTCTATATAGCATAATGGAGGGGGGGCAGGGGAATAATCTAAGTTAATTAAAATGTTGTCTACAAATAGAATTTCTCACATCACTTGGCTAGCCTCTCTGCCTTCCCTTAAAGAAAAAGTTTTTTATGTTCTGGGTTTTTTTCACTAGTACTAATGGTGTAACCACTGTAGGCAGTGGGATTCATGTGGCAAAATACCTTTTGGGTTTGTTTTTGATTTTTTTTCTCTGCACTGCTCTAATCCTTTGCAGTTTTAATGTTGGAAAAATATTGAAGGGTTTTGAGAATATTAACTGCTCATCCAGGAACATTCAGTGGCATTTTCACCTGCTGTTCTCACGTCCAATTTGGACAAAGAGATCAAATGGTTTAGTTAAGTGCTTCATGATTTGGAAGAACACAGGCAACATTTCTGTATCCAGCATTAGAATCTAGTCATTGACCTGTAACGAATAACTTTGTAACAAAATTCAACCTCATAGAACAAGATTACAGAAAAGAAATACAGACCTTTCAGAGCAGCTGAACTTCTAGGAAGTCTGTAGCAACAGTTTTTGTTCTAAGAAATGTTAGTGAATCACAGAATCATAAAATAGTTTGGGTTGGAAGGGACCTTTAAAGGTCATCGAGTCCAACCCCTCTGCAATGAGCAGGGACATCTTCAACTAGATCAGGTTGCTCAGAGCCCCGTCCAATCTGACCTTGAATGTTTCCATGGATGGGGCATCTATGATCTCTCTGGGAAACCTGTTCTGGTGTTTCACCACATTCATTGCAAATCAAATTGTTGTCCAGATCTTTCTGAATGGCATCCCATCCCTCAGGTGTGTCAGCTGCAACACTCAGCTTGGTGTCATCTGCAAACTTTCTGAAGGGGCACTCAATCCCACTGTCTATGTCGTTGATGAAGATATTAAACAGTACTGGTCCCAGTACAGACTCCTGAGGGACACCACTCGTCACTGATCTCCACCTGGACATTGAGCTGTTGACCACCACTCTCTGGGTGTGACCATCCAACCAATTCCTTATCTAACAGATAGTCCACCCATCAAATCCTCTCTCTCCAATTTAGAGACCTGGCTCAGTCCACAGTGGAGTGTCAAAACCCTGAGCTCCCACGAGAACATGCAGTCATCCAGGTCTCAGGCTGCAGGGAGTGCCTGAGCCTTTCCCTGGTAACCGATGGCAGTAGCAAGAAGCTGTGTGAGGTGATCTGCTCAGCCCCGTGGCAGAGCTACAGGAGGAAGTAGAAAAGTTAAGGAAGGAGCATCAGGAGTCTGAAAGAGACTGGTGAAATCATGGTCTGCCCTCCCCGAGAGAGAAATGGGAACAGCCACCAGAAAAAAAGATCAAGGTGATACTGTATCCTCGCCCCACCTGGCAGAAGGCAGCAACTTAAAGAAAAGGAGTGAATGGAGAGAAGTCTACTCTCAGGGCTGCAGGTGAGCCCCCTCCTTGCCCACCTCACTGTCCCAGGTGCCTCTGGGCAACAGGCATGATGCTCGGGATGTGGAAGGTCAGTCAGTGGATGATGGTCCATCTACACTACAGGTTTTGCCGATGTCAGAAAGGCCTAACCCTCCCTTTTCACAACCATCTCCCCAAGGAAGAAAAGATGGGTTATAGCTGCGTGTGACTCCCTTCCTGGGGAAACAGAGGGTCCAATATGCTGGACAGACCCTCCTCTTGGGTTCAGCTGCCTGCCTGGGGCCCAGGTTAGGGACATCACTAGGAAACTTCCCAGCCCAGTACGGCCTTTGGACTACTAACCTTTACTGCTCTTCCATGTAGGTGGCGATGAAGCTCCAACACATAATCCAAGGGCAATCAAAAGAGACTTCAAGTCCTTAGGACCATTGGTAAGGGAATCTGTAGCACAGGTGATTTTACCGTATAGAATCCTATATAGAATCATGGTTAGGGTTGTAAGGGACCTTAAAGATCATCTAGTTCCAGCCCCCCTGCCATGGGCAGGGACACCCTCCACTAGCCCAGGTTGCTCAAAGCCTCATCCAGCCTGGCCTTGGACACCTCCAGGGATGGGGCATCCACAACTTCTCTGGGCAACCTGTTCCAGTGTCTCACCACCCTCACATCCTCTATCCTTCCAGTTGCAGGCAGCAATACTGGAAAACAGATGGACCCAGTCTATTAATATACGACTCCGTAGCTGTTGTCACTGACAGAATGTTGGGGTTTGTGATGATGGGATGGTCTACACAGCACCAGGCCTGCTGGCACCGCATGGGATTCATCTTTCTCAAAGGGGGAAGAGGGTTTTTGCTCATGAGCTAGCAGGGCTCATTGACAGAGCTTTAAACTAGACTTGAATAGGGAAGGGGATACTATCAGACTCCACCATGACAAGCCATGGGATGACACCCCAAGGTTAGAGGGACAGGGTGTTAGCTGTTGCTCTGAGACATGCTGGCTACAGTGGAGCACACTTGAAGTCTTACAGAGATGAGACAGGGGCCCCAAGGTAAGAGGATCCAACAGAGAAATACCACTGAAACATCTCAGAGAAATTAAGGAGTGTTCTTCTAAGAAGGTGACACAGCCAACAGCCCAGGTGAAGTGTCTCTACACCAATGCATGCAGCATGGGCATCAAACAGGAGGAGCTGGGAGCCACCATGCTGCTGGAAAGCTGTGACCAAGTTGCCATTACTGAAACTTGGTGGGATGAATCCCATGACTGGAGTGTGACTATCGATGGCTACAGGCTGTTCCCAAGGGACATGGGAGAAAGGAGGAGTGAAGGGGTTGCCCTCTGCATCAAGAAATAGCTTTACTGCTGAGCTCAGTAAAGGAAGAACTTCTGCAAAAGGGGTTGGAGTAGCTGCAGATTGGTTTAATTAAAAACCTGAAAGACTTAGCCACCTCAACAAGATCTCATCTGAACCAACTATACAGTTAACAAAAATCAGTCTTTGATCAGAACTGTTTTTACATAGAAATAAAATGAAATTATACAGAATAGTGCCAAGTAATTATTTAAGGTAATATCTGACCTAAATAGATGGTCCATACTGCTGGCTTCACTACAGTAAGGAGTTATATGGCCTAACATTTAATACCTAGTCTATGATTATGTCACGGTGTGCCGAAAGCATAGGGCAGCCTGTGTAGTGATGAGAAAGAGTGAGCTACGCAATGGCTGACTGCGAAGGTCTCCATGCCGTTTCTCAGGCGTGTGATGGTGGCTGGTTATCTGCCTTCACGTTGCACAGTTTTGGACTTTCCAATGGGACGGTGTGTCTCTCTCTTTGCTCTTCTTAATGCACTCCGCAGTCGACCTTCCTCCTCACTGCTCTCCTCGGAGCTGGAAATCCCGGTGCCTGTTTCTGTGCCAACTGAAGGCCTTTCATAAGGGCCACCTTGACATGAGACTTTCTCCTCTTGGCACTCTGGCCTGTGTGGGAACTTGAGGCTTTCATTGAAGAAGGCAGAAGCCATGCACTCGGCTGCTGTCTTATCGCAAGCACACAGTAGTTTCTCACACAGGCTCAAACCAATACCTTAAAAAGATGTTTCAGAATTAATGTTTGAAAGAAGTTAATGTCTAATTTGCCATGGGTAGATGAGCTTTTGAAAATAAAATTTTCAAATTTGCCTTGAATTTTAGTCTCCAAATTCACCTTTAATCATCTAAATACAAGCCTGACACCAAGGTCCTGGGCAGCTGAAGTTCCAGCTGGCTTTAGTTGAATTTGTGAATATAAAGACACCATCAATTGACTTCCATCTCCAATCATAAAATATCTGAATGTGATTTTCTTAGCCTAACCTGGTCACATCATGCACAGTGGTGTAATAACCTTTTTCTCAAACAGTAAAAAAGCTCAGGTTTATAGTAAGCATACTCAGCTCTAGCAGCTCACAGGCATGGTGGCGTTCAGTCTGTGATGCTTTGATACACTGTCATCAGGACAGGAGGGATTTCCTCTAACACAAACTTACATTTTGGCTTGTGGTCAAAGCATACAACTTCAGATCTTGAACTTCTTTCAGCGTGACATCCAAGTTTCTTAACTTGTTCCATACAACAGTGATGAGAGAAGCAGCACCTGAAATAAACAGTAGATGTAAATGAAAAAAGCTTAATACTTCCTGCATCACAGAGTACTTGGAATTATTTTATCTCTTTATGTTCAGTGCCCATTAAGACTGTGAAATTTTAGTTTTCATCTCATGGAAGAATTTTTTTTAGAGAGAAGAAGAAAAACACCCCAAGTTGTTTGTGCTTGCCTCCTATACCTGTTCCTGCTTTCACTACCTCCTTCCTAATTCCTGTGGTATCTTATGTTTAACAGGGCTGTAGTTTTTTGGGGGGGGTTGTTTTAAGACATAAAATCATAAAATTGTAGAATAGCTAAGGTTGCAAGGGACCTTAAAGATCATCGAGTTCCAACCCCCCTGCCATGGGCAGGGACACCCTCCACTAGCCCAGGTTGCTCAAAGCCTCATCCAGCCTAGCCTTGAACACCTCCAGGGATGGGGCATCCACAGCTTCCCTGGGCAACCTGTTCCAGTGTCTTATTCTGCCCTACTTACCTCCTGTCATTCTCTTTTCTTATTTTAATTGAATTATTAAGTCATGTCTACAACACTGATGCAATAATAGAATGTGTCTTAGTGACATGAGAGTATTTAGTGTTTTATGTGTTTAATTTGATTTTTTTTTCAAAATGTGGCCTGACTACTGACATGTAGCTATACAAGGCCCTACAAAAGGTGTACTGAGCTTTGTTGGTCCATAGACACCCCAATATTACCCATAGTTAATGGCAGATTATAGAAGAGCCCACACCTGTCCAGCACATCAATAGGAAAACCTCTTCCTTCTTGGCCACAGTAGCAACCGTAGGACTCAAACTCCTCTGGGCATCGCTCAGTTAAACAGAACAGCATTTCTCCCAGCTGGGGCAGCTCCCTCCTCCCTCTTCCATTTCCTCTCTCTTGCAGAAAAATCAATCGCTCACATACTATAAGGCAAAAAAAGTTATTTAACACATTGTGTTTTCACTAGTTGGGGGCTCTCTTGTGATGACAGAAGTATTTTCAGAGCTATCAGAAAGTTTTAAAGATAACATTTTACTATTTCTAAATAATTGCTTGAGTCCATGAAATATGGCTCTTAGAATACTACTGAGCAAGAAAGCAGAAGTGGGGAGAAAGTATTTAAAGGGGAAGGAAATCCCTATGAAGATATAAATTACAAGTCAAATTGGGTTGCAATGAGAATACCTTGAAATCCTTTGTAATTCTTCATAGTTACATTTTTATTCTATTATATGCTAGAATACTGAGTATTCAGTAGCTTGTGTCCTCACTAATTCAGAAAATAGAGACCTAACCTCTTGTGCTTGTACAGGGATAGCTGGACAATGACTATGTTGTGCTGGAGGAAGCAATAACTTTTTTTTTAGTTATTTCTAATATAATTTAGTTCAAGCTATGATACCCCTAGCCCATATGCAGGAGCAATCTTTCATAAAGGTTACTGTGCTATTACATTTTTGGCATCTCCATGTCCCAACCCCTCTGTGGCTTCCTCCACTCAGGAAGAACTGATATTGTGGGAGTTATCCCTAAAATTTGAGAGCAGAGTGTGTTCCATATCAGGAAAAAAAGATGTCAAGGGGGCCTCTTTTGGGACTTCGCCAGGGAAAGGGGCTGGTGGCTGGACTGGGGCAGAGAAAGGGAGGACTTCTGTTCGCTGTGCATCCTCCTTGCTCCCATGAGTAATCCAATCTTCCTTTCTGCACCTCTGTACTGACCCTCCCTGCTTCTTCCAAGGACAGCCTTGAGTTACTGCCCCCAGTAGGAAATTCTGCCTGCTTGGGTCTCTGATCACTCGCGTTAATTCACCAAGAACAAACCCCAGGTTCATGCACTGCCACACACTCTCTAAAAGCTGGCATTTTATGATCAAATTTTCCAGTTTGCTGGAAGGCTGTGATGATTCTTCCTGACTGCTCTTTTCCAGTTCTGGGACTGCTTCTCCCCATTGGGAAGCCTGACAAGATGGGTGGGACAGTCCATGAGTGTGGATTTATGGCAGTGACAGGTCTAAAATGTCTCAAAATCTCTGTGATCCAACTCTGAGGAGGAGTTGAAACAGAACCAGAAATGGTGAGAAAAAGGCTGACTCTGGCAAGCCTTTGGCAAGAGGTCAGAGTGAGGACGAGGGGAAGTTCCTTTTATTGCTTCTTCTGCTTGTAAAGTAACTCAAAGACATGATTAAATTACTGCCTAAAAACAAAAGCAGGGGTTAATGTTAACTGAGCTCATTTTAGATCTTGTACTGTATGGAAAGTGTACTTATAACCTAATCATAAATTGTTTTTATAAGTGTTAATGATAGCACAGGGGTGGAAGAGGTTAAACTGTTGGAAGCTTTTGCAGATGATCACATCTCCTGTTGTTCTTATAACTACCAATACATATATGCTTGTCTAACTGGTTCTGAATAAGTATAATCTTTATATGTAATATACACCTACCTTTTAATATAGAGGTAGATGAATTTTTCATTAGATATAACTGGGGGAAAAAACCCTTAATTTACCTTTTCCTGCAGGTTGATGGGGTCCCATGTCAGACATTGCCGGTTCCCGAGCTATTCCAGAGGAAGCTGTGCTCTCGCCACCCCTTGCAGGGCTTGTCTCTGGAAATGGCAAATGCATAGATTAGACTTGCAAAGGTAGAGTAAACTCTTCTTTCAGTAATGTGTCCAAAAGTGCATATTCTGAACCATAATCAATTGTCAGTCTTCTAACATTTGTTTAATTCATAGTTGTAAGACTGCTCATTAATGGTTGGTTAAGCTTTCCTGGTCAGTGCTGGAGAGTGAAATGCCCTTTCCAGAGCAGTGTTGTGCACCCTATATTCCATGTCATCTATCCAGATTTCAGGAGAAGATAGTGTTACTCTACATATCTATAAGAAATACTGAATCCCCAGAGAGCTGTGGACAGGAATAGGGGAGAGCTGTAAGTCAGGATAGGTGTAATTCTGCTTTACTCGCCTTTTTCTTTTGTCCTTGCAGATGTGCCTGTGGGAATCTTCTCAGTGGGGACAGTTTTGGCCTGCATTGAGTTGATATCTCCTAGGAAGGAGTCTGGGGAGGTAGTTATGTCTTTCACTGGGACCACAGCTTGCATGAATCCATCCTCTTCTGAATGAGCAGAAAACAGAAAGCGGATGAAGACATGGAGCAATAAACAGCAAGATTTTAATTTTAGATAGCAGGTGAGAGTAATATCCTCAGACAGAACTCATGTGAACTGATGGTCACAGAGAAAAAGAAAATAAAAATGAAGATTGAAAAAGCAAAGAGGTAATTTCTTTACATTTCTTGCCTTTCAGAAAACAAGGTGCTGGTTAAATAGGACCAGTATAACTACTGAATTGCAAAAAAAATGGAAAAAAAAAAAAAAAAAAAAAAAAAAAGTTGCATACTAAGGTAAAGAGCTGTGCTAGTTGTCAGCCATACAGAGAAATAACATCCAGGTGAGATGTCATCTTCTGAGTAAATTGCTAAAAAAAATAAGTGCCCATTCACATGAGGGTACTAAAACTGGTAGAAACATTAGAGAGGGCAGAAAATTATTTGACTGTTGCAGAGCTGGGCAACTAAAGGATTTACTTCATTATAACCACAGCAAATATTAAGAGGAAAATTAATTGAGGATAAACAGAAACATAATTTTAAGAAGATTCTTTATCCTAAAGATTATTTATTTTTAGATTATCTGAAGCTTTATTGTTGAGCAGGAAAATGTTTTATTTAACTAGAGGGTTACTTAACATTTTTTCTTTCTTTTTTAACCTTTTTTATATAAGCTAACTTGTAAATGAAAACAGTGTTATCAAATGGTTTAACATTTTCTAAATGTCAATATGAAGAATGTGTCGTTTTACAAACAAAATACTTTGAAAAATTACCAATGCACATGTGTTTCCACATTTTTAAAGCTTTTCCTTGGATTAAACTCAAATTCATTAAATTTGTCCCTCTGAAATTCTGCTTTTACTATGTATTGAAAATCATCTGTCATAGCAATAGATTAAAAAAATGAAAGTCCCGCTAAGAACACAACAAAGCCAATGAAAGGTTGCAGAACAGGATCAAAAGCAACAAGCTAGTTTTAATGGCTGGAGTTTGGGAAATTCAGCACTTAGCTAGGAATAAATATTACAAATAACCTTCCGGGAGACATACAGACCTCCAGTACAACACACAGGTTTTCTGATACATTCAAGTTAACGGAGGAGAACATTTAGTGATTTTGACCAGTGTTTAGTACAGCAATGCCAAATTTCTCTGTTGGGTGGGAGACATGAATACTGTTCAGACAGCGTAATCAGAGTCAAAAAACAACTGCTTTCTGCTCTCCATATTCAGTGTTCCTTGACATTTTTCTGATGCATTTCAGTCTGCCTGAATGATCCTTTCTACAACAAAGGGACCACTGAAAACTTCCCAGTCTACCAAGGTCCTCTGCTTCTAGCTGCAGCTACTGGTGTGGCTGTGCTCAAAGCACAACAACTGCAAAAGCTGAAATAGGTGTTATACTGTGAAAGAACTCTGTGAAATTCTGTATAATAAAGGAGAAGGCAAAATCAAAATGAACCCTTCTGGCAGCAGATGCTATGAATGCATAAATGAGAAGGCAAAATCAAAACGAACCCTTCTGGCAGCAGATGCTATGAATGTAATTTAAAGGACCAAAGTTATATTGGAAAAACTTATGTGAAGAGGTTTTCACAGCTGCTTGGATGAGGAGTACAAATGAGTGGCTGGAGGCAACGAAGAGCTAATATTTCTCAGTCTCTTTTTATTGTTTGTGTGTCTGCTATCTGACCCCGATCTAAATTTGATTCGCCAGCAGCCCTGTCGTCACCACGCATGGATTTTTAATAGTGAGGCTTTTAGATGAAGTATTGCTGTGTCAGTCAAAGGAAAAGGAAAGCTGAGAGTCACTGACCTTTTATCGAGGGGGTGGGGGGAGCAGGAGCTGTACCTCTGTGGTCCCTTGTGGTAGCTGCACAAAAAAACAGAGGCACTGTGGTAGTGACCTACCTGCTGTATTTCTGCAATGCATTTCTGGAGTTACTTTTACTGAAAGCGTCATAAAACTTAACCAAACATCACTATTAGCCTTGGTTTATAAAGAGGGTAATTAGGAGAAACAAAGTGGTTTGCTGAAGGATGTGTAAGTCAGCAGAAGAACTAGAGGTATTATCCAGAAATCCTGAGCTGCAAATTTTGGACTGTGGCACCACTGAACTTCATAAACCAAAATCCATTTTCACCTGGAGTCAGGAGTGCCTGATTCATCAAAAAGAGTATAATCAGACTCACCTCTGGCTTTCAAAGTCCCCAGGACCATCTCAGTGGGCTCAAAAGAAATCACTGTTGAAGACAGAAAATGTAAACTCAGAAAACAAGTTTCCATGAAAAGTCAAGCTGCTGGGAAGTG